ATATTTGAACACCTGGTCTTAAAATATTTTATTCATCATGTTAAAATAAAACGTTCCATAATCAATTTTTTTCTTTTCTTTTTTCAATTTTTCCAATTTTTCAGAAAAAAACAAAAAAGGCTTCAGGAAAAAATGTTTTTTTCCCCGAATTTTTCCGTTTTGTTCCCGGGCCTTCACATCTCTACTCTGGGCCCTCCCAAGGCCACCCCTACCTGAGTGGTGGCAGGCAGCATGGTGCCCACGGACACCACGTTGTAGAGCCCTGCCATATCCCATAACTCCGTGTCTCCCTTCTGCAGAAGATCGCTGGTTCCCACCCGCCTGCCCACATCCTCTCGGCCCTGGAGCACCTGGCCCTCCAGAACACCCACCAGCTGCAGGAACTCACCGACGGCATCGACATCCCTCGTGACGTGGAAGCACTCAAGTTGGTCCCGCCCTGGGGGGGAGGGAGGCAGCGTTCCTACCCTTTCCCCTCAGCGGAAATTATTACGGATGCCTGCCGGGGTCTTCAGGTCTGCCCATTCTGTCCCGTGCCCAGGTTCCGCTATGCCAGCGCCCACCTGGAAGATGTCTCGGATGCGGCGGACGACCTGCCTTCCGTCCAGGGACTTATACAGGTGAGTGCTCAGCCGTTGCCCAACAGAAGGGTAAAGAGTCCAGGTTGTGTGAGCATGCTGGTTTCTTGGTGGTGGCCCCTCACCTGCGGCTCAGTCTTCCCTTCCTCATCTCTTCCGCCGGCAGGAAGGCTGGAGTGAGTGCGAGATGCTCTGCGTGCAGCAGCTCCCCCTGCAGGCCAAGCAGAAGCAGCTTGCGGCGCAGCTCGGAGTCATCGTCCAGGAGATGCACCGTCTTCTGTCTGACGGCTCGGAGCGCTCCATCTTGGCCAGGTGAGAAACGCCCTGCCGTGGTTGCCCCTGCCAGAGACAGGGTGCTGAAGGGGTGGTTAGTTTCATTTCAGGGCTATGAGGCATTACAAGGGAGAAGAACCACAACCCTCCCTAAGCCAAGTCCTGTCCCTTTCGTTGGTTTCTTTTTCTCCCTTCTCCAGGCTGGCTTGGTTTTCCCTTTCTTACTCTGCTCCTGTACCTTATCTCTCCAGCCAGCCTCCTCCCGTCTCCTCTTCCTCCCTACTTATAGACCCAGCCCAACTGCTGGTCCCTGTCCTACGTTCCACTCTCTTCTGCTCTTCGTAGCCACGCCCTACCCTAACACACCTGGACCCCGGGAGCTGTTGTTCAGGCTGGCCTGTTGCTTCCGTGCCTTTCGAACCTCCCGCAGACTCTAATCTTGGAGAACCGGGTTTGATTCCCCACTTCTCCACATTCAACTGCTGGTGTGACCTTGGGTCAGTCACAAGCAATGTT